TTAGGACTGAGAGAAGAGCTACTCAAAGTCCCTTTGAGCTGGGTGTGAGCTAGCACATCTGGGACTACAAACATTTTATAATATATTTATGGAGCTTCTCACGCTTCATGACACAAAAGCTCTGCACATGTAGAGTTCATTAACAGAGGTAGCTATGGCAGAGTGCAAGTCAGGGCTGCCCTGGCCATGTTAGAACTGTCCGTGTGATTTAGGACAAACGTCTTAACTTCTTTGAGTCCCATTTGCCACAATCTGTAGGATAGGAATAATATTTACCCAACTTCTTATGAATACCTCCTATTTATAGATACCTACTATGGGTCAGGTTCTTGGCAGACGCTGCATCATTTCATCATTAATCATTTAATCTTCACAGCTGCCCCGTGAATTAACATAGGAAACCCAAGCAGACGCATTCAGTCTCCCAACCAGTTCCTCCTGGCTCAATGGAGGGCATCCATGTGGCTTCCTCTGTCTCTCTGGCTGCTTGAGTTTCCTCTGCCCAAATACAGGCTACCCGGAAGGCCCATGGAGTTGAAACCCCAGGAGCAACCCTCAGTCAACAAGGGATGGGAGCCAGTGGACAAGCAGTCCAGCACCTCACCCAGCGGCAGAACAATCTAGGGATGTTCCCCACGCAGTCTCCGGCAGGTCCCCGTAGGACCGAGTTCTGCTATTGGTTTTACTCACTCCTCACACCCACCATGCTATGCTTCCTGAAACCAGATCCCAAGTAAACCACTTCACTCAAATACTTGTCTCAGGATCCGCTTGGGGGGTTACCCAAAGGAAGACAGCAAGGGAGGTTCAGAGAGTGAAGTTCCTTGATGGAGATGCCACAGTTAAAAAGCTCAGCTGAGCCCCACTCCTGAACACAAAGTCCATCTGCCTTCCACCCTCCCTGGGTGTTGGGACTGAGTGAGATGAAGCCAATGAAGAAGAGACATCAGGGCACAGTAAATGATTATCACGTTTTCACCTCATCTTCGTTTTAGCCCTGGGAGGTGGATCAGCAGGCTCGTTTTATGCCCACTTTACAGGAAACGGAGACTCGTTGAACAAAGTGACTGGCTCCTCAATGACAAATGGCAAGGTGATTCTGTTCCTCCTGGCCCGTTTTCTCCATTTCTCTGCCTCTCTCTGTGACCAGGAGGCCACACACTGGACTTCATCCTTCAGGCCCCTCAACCTCTGGCTTCCAGCTGGGGTCAGCCAAGAGAAGGCATGAGCAGCAAGAGAGAGAAGGGATGTGTGACCAACACCCCCCCCCGCCCCCCGAGAGGGTATAATTTTAACAGTGGCTGCATTTCTCTGTTGGAGTCACAACTCCTTTCCAACCACTTCAATTAAAAAAAAAAAAAACTTGGATTTTCCCAGCTTTTATTAAAAATCTAGGATTCTGAGAAAGAGGGAAGGAAATGGTGAAAGTTTACTAAGACCCCAGGACCCTTCCCAAGGGCCAGTCTGCCCTGGTCCTGTATCACGGCTACAGCACTCAAACCTTTGACTTGCCCATCAGCAAAGGCTATGGCTTCTGGCTCTTGCTGATCCCAGGGCATTTCTCATCCCTGCCCACACCTCCATCAATCTCGGCGGGAGTCTCAAACCTCCAGGATCTAATGCCTGATGATCTGAGATGGAATTGATGTAATAATAATAGGAATAAAGTGTACAATAAATGTAATTGTGCTTGAATCATCTCAAAACCACCCTCCCCCGCCCCCCCCCCCCAGATCTGTGGAAAAATCTTCCATGCAACCAGTTTCTGGCTCTAGAAAGGTTGGATACCACTGCTATACATCATCTTCATTACATACTCTTCAAAGAACCCCTTTGAGGTTCATTCTTTTCCTTGCTGGGACTTTAACCCAAAGGGTTTAGCAACCAATAAGAGGGAGGACAGGGGGAGGGCCGGGAATAAAATCCTTATGGAGCAAATACCGTTTTCCAGACCCAAATGACCCTTTTCATTCATGACCCTCATGAGAAGGCTGCTGGTGGGTAGAATTATGACTCCCATTTCACAGATGAACAAACTAAGTTTCAGTCATACTACATGGACCAAAATCCAGGTTAGTTAGAACTGACAGCCCATGTTCTCTTCCCTTTCCCACAAAGACCACACTGTTCTCTAGCCTGACTTGCCTTTACTGTAGATAACTGTTGGGACCACAGCCCTCCAACGTGGCCCTGGGCATGTCAGGAAACCCGGGACACCCTGCCTGTGGCTAGGGTGTAGCATCTTTGTGGCCAGTGAGCATTCCATGAATGGAAACAGCTTTCCCTTCTGTGAGGAAAGGCAGGATTTCATGTGAATGTGTGATGGCTGGCAGAGGGCCAAGAATAAGAGCAGGAAATGGAAGCCCTAGTGAGATAACTGCCATGAACATTGAGGGGAGGGGGCAGGATAAACAGAGGACTTTCAATTTTGCAAAGCATTGGAGAGCTCGTTGGATTAAGGAACGACCCTTGGGGAGAACCCGGGGAATATTAGGAAAAGGGGGAGACAGCCTTGGCAGGCAGCAGAGACTCAGTGCTGGTGGAGCGATTAAAGGGTGGGGTGAATGACTGGGAAACCACAGAATCATGCAAAACCCAAAAGCAGGCATCTGAAATGTGCAGAAGGAAAAAAAAAAATCAATTATAAGGCAAAACATAACCAACCGGAGTTTATGCTTAGTAGCTGAAAATATTCAAAACAACATTTTGGAATGCGAAACACATGAAATAAAAAGCAACTGTCATTTGATTTAGAAGCTTCAGAAATGTGACTTCTTCCCACAAGGGTTTGGAAGAGGGACTAGTCAGAAAGACAGAATTCAGAACTCTAAATAAAGATGTGGAGCTGAATGGGTCCAGAGGGTTTGCCCAACACTTGACAATTATGAATAAAATCAGAAATACCAGACTTCACAAAGTTTATTAGAATATACAAATTTTCTTTCTTCCTACCTCTACAGCAGTCTGCAACATACCCATTATAAAATAATGTCCAGCTATTTAGCACCTATGTTGCAGAAACTTTACGTACATTATCCCTAATTCTCCCTACAACTCTACAAGTAATAGTATTGTCCCATTACACAGATTTGGGAACTGAGGCACAGAGTGTTTAAATAACTTGGACTAGGTCACATGAGAGGTTGCTGAGAGGCTGAAGAAAGAAGAAAATCCAGATCATTTTCTCCTGGTACATTCCATTACCACATGGAGAATCCTGAAACCTAGGTTTTCTAGATGGTCCAAATCTCTGTTTTCAGAAGGAAAAATCAAGAAACAGAGAGGAGACAAACATATTTATGGAAATGGCAGCCCTAGAATTTGAGTGGAGATCTATGGGGTCTGGGAAGAGAAATCTTAAGATCACCAAGCCCAAAGCCTCTATTTTATGCCAAGGTGATCCTTCCAAGAGCTTGAAGCAGGGGCAAGAGGAAAGTTCATTTCTCACACAGGGTAGTACATCCTACTATCCATATATTCATTCAACAAACCTTTTCAAGTGGCAGCCAAGTATGTGCTATGAAAAATATGAAAATATTTTTCCGATAAGCAACTGGAAGGTGCTTGATTTACATTTTCTTTTTATTTGATCTTTCTTTTTCATTTGAGCACATTTCCACTTCATTCTCTGCATCAGTTCCTCAAATGCTTCTCCAAAAACTGTATTCAATGAACAATCAACAGACTGCTATCTTTAGAACATTTATCATCAAATAGCAGTCCTTGGTTTTTTTCCAGTAATGACTGTGTTTTCTGTTCTGCAACACTGGCAGCTCTGAAAGCATGCTTTTTTCTTAGCATATATGAATGGTAACAGCCTCTTCTATTCCCTTGTCTGACCTGAGAAGGGTAATTGAAAGGGTGCTTTGTAAAGGCTCTGAAAAACATATGGATTTGGCTAGAGTTTTATTAGAAATCTAGAAACCTGGGAAAGGGAAATAAAACCATATTTGTTTGCCAAATCCCAAAACATTTTCCCCATTTGGTCAGATCAAGTGCCAGGTTCCTGCTACCCTAGTCATCAGTAAATTTTTTGCTGTGTAACAAATGATCCCTACAACTTAATGCCTGCAAGTAATAAACACTTATCATTTTCCCTGATCCTGTGGGTCTGCTAGGTGGTTCATGTGGGCCTCTGGCCTGGCCTGGATGGGCTAGGATGTCACATGTCTGGGACTCACCCAGGTTGAATAGGGCCTCTCTCCTCTCAGTGGGGCTGGCCTGGGCTTCTCCACATGCCAGTGGAAGGGCCCCCAACAGCAAAAGAAGAACAAGCCCCAGTGGGCAAGCACTTTTCAAGACTCTTGTATCACATGTGATTCTGGTCCCATTGGCCAAAGCTTGTCATGAAGCCAAGCCAAATTCAAGGGGTGGAAAACAGACTCTACTTCCTAATGGATGTATCTGTAAAAATATTGTGGCCATTTTTTTTCATATTCCCTCCACGGCTGGGCGTTTTGCTGGCTGAGGTCCCTCGACTATCAGCCCTCTCAGAAACTGTTCCTTTTTTCCCAAAGAAAACCGTCTCACTGAAGGATGATGCTCATTCCCAGGGGCAGCAGCCTGCTGTGGTAAATGGTTGCTGGGGGGATACAAAGGTTTGGTCTCTTGCCCACATTTGAGACCCAAAGTCTGACCAGTCAACCCAGCTTCTCAGGTTCTTCAATGGTCAGCTGAGGCCTTTGTTGGTGTTCAGTCACTAAGTCGTGTCCAACTCTTTGTGACCCCATGGACTGCAGCGTGCCAGGCTTCCCTGTCCTTCACTGTCTCCCAGAGTTTGCTCAGACTCATGTCCATTTAGTCAGGGATGCCATCCAACCACTTCATTCTCTGTCTAACTCCCTCTCTGATCAGTCCTGCGCCTTCCTTTCCACCAGAGGTGTCCCTGGTGAGCACATCCCCCAGTAGACCTGACACAACCTAATCTCTGTGCCACTAGCTGCCTGCTGTGGACAGATGCTGCCAGGAGTAATCTGAGAAAACAGATGCCAAAATGGACTCTAGGGCTGGATCACCAGCCAGCTGACAGGCAATGAGAGCCCACTTACTACGTTGTGGTGGTTGTTCTTTAGTCTCCAAGTTGTGTCTGACTCTTTGCGACCCCATGGACTGTAGCCCACCAGGCTCCTCTGTCCATGGGATTTTCCAGGCAAGAATACTGGAGTGGGTTGCCATTTCCTCCTCCAGGGGATCTTTCCAACCCAGGGATCGAACCTGTGTCTCCTGCATTGGTAGGCAGATTCTTTACCACCGAGCCACCTGGGGAGTCCATTACGGTTGATACACAGAGCTAATTCAGCCCCATACGTGAGATGGCAGTGAAACTGGTCAAACTTCCACCAGTGGTGAAATAGAATGGGATACTGGTGGAAGAGATGGTCCCAGAGTGTGTGACGTATTGGGCTTTTGCCAAAGATGGAGGAAAGAGTCATTTGGGACAATGGAATTGAATGGCTCTTATTGGAGAACAATGTATGCTTTGGGGAAAAAAGATAGTGAAAGACTGCAATGACTATTAGTCAATAAAGAAAACCAAGTAGAAAAATACAAGGGCCTCCTTAGCCCCTCCTTAGCCCCATATAAAGGAATTCTCCTCTCCTGCAACCAGAGGCTAAATTCTCAACCAAAACATGGAAGGAGCTGGGCTCCTAATGGCCTTGTGAAGCAGAGCCGCTGTCATGAGCTCAGATGCTTCCATGAGAGAGAAGTCACTGTCTCCCTAATTTAAAATATCATTATTTGGGGTCTATTTCCTATCTAGTCCAAGTTACACCCTGCTATAGGCTCAAAACCTGTGTCCCCTAAAATCCACATGTTGAAGCCAAATTGCCAGTGTGATGGTCTTAGAAGGTGGGACTCGGGAGAGGTGGTTAGACCATGAGGATGAAGCCCTCAGGAATGGGACTAGTGCCCTTAAAAGAAGCCCCAGAGAGCTCCTTCCTTCCTTTTAAAGGTTTTTTTATTAACATTTTTTAAGTCAGCATCCCCAGAGAGCTCCTTCCTTCTTTCCACCTTGTAAGGACACAATGAGTCTGCAACTCTGAAGCAGGGCCTTCAGTCTTAATGTTCCATCAGCACATCCCCACTGGGAGGTTCTCCAAGAACAGGCATCCCAATTTCTTTAAGAAATAAAAGGGAAACTAGAAAAGGAGACAAAAATCTGCTGATTTTATCAACAAACCACAATATGTTAACCTTTTTTGAATGTTGACTTAAAAACTTTTAATAAAAAAAAACACTTAAAACATGTGTGAGACAACTGGATTATTTGATGAGATAAAGAAATCATTGTTAATATATTTAAGCAAGTTAACAGGCTTGTGATTATGTTAAACCTAATATTTCAGAGATGTGCACTGAACTATTTATAGATTCAGTGATAATGATCTGAAATTTGGTACAAAATAATACTGAGGCAGATTAGGTGGAAGTATAAATAAAACAAGCTTGGCCATGATTTAATCATTGATGAGACCAGGTGATGGGTAACATGAAGATTTATCATATGAGGCTGCATGTTTTTGTGAATGTCTGAAATTTTCTGCAGTGAAAGTTAAGAGAAAAACATGCAAAGGGACCTGATCTGTTGGATGGGTAGGTGGATGGATGGATGTGTGGCAGCAGAGGGGATCTGTGATTCAGAGCCTTATGTTCAAATTAGGACAGGATCTCAGCTTGTGGTCGGGGGCCCAGGGAGTGGGGAGGAAGTGGTGGGATGATCTGGGTTATTAAAGTACCATCCCAAGAACCAAGCAGGAATATCATCAGAAAGACCAAGCGAGAATTTGGGGGGGTGGGGTGGGGGGAAACCAGCATGGTAGACACATGGACACTAGCTGCTTATCGCTGCCAAATTAATTTCCGATCCCACCCACTGGCAGACACAGGGCACTCAATGTACTGCCAACACCATGTAGATTGATTCCAGGGCTGGGCGAGCCTGGGCTTTCCAGTGAATGGCCCCGGTGCCTAAAGCCCAGATCAGCAGGAAAAAGGCATACAGTAATACCTACAGTGACTTAAACCTCCAGAGGGAACACTGAGGCAATTTTAGGACTAAAATGTGAATGTATAACAGAAGGGTTTGATATCCTACCTTCCCTTTCTGGGAAACATTCTGTCTCTATGCGGTCTAGACTGCCCGTTGGAACCACATGACTCCACCCCTCTGGCCACAGCTGACTGATCCAAGAATGCACACCTAACCCAAGGGGAAAATATCCATAGGCTGAGCGAGGTCCATCACATTTCTCCTCAAGAATGTGAACTAGTAAATCAAGAAACCAAGTTTAAGAACTATAAACCACGTCACCAAAGAGTGGAGGCACTGGATTTAGAAGGTCATTATCATGAACTGAATTTTTGCATCTCCCCTCTCCCCCCAAAAAGTATGTATGTTGAAACTTAATCCCTAATGTGATGGTGTTTGGAGGTGGAGTCTCTGGGAGGTAATTAGGTCATGAGGGTGGAGCCCTCATGAATGTGATTAGTGCCTGATAAGAGATACCCCAGAGAGTTCCCTAACATCTTTCTGCCATATGAGGATATGATGATAAGTTGGCAGTCTGCAATCTGGAACCTGACCGTGCTGGCACCCTGATCTGACTGTCATCCCTTAAAACTGTGAGAAATAAACTCCTGTTGTTTATAAGCCACCCAGTCAGTGGTAAGTTGACATAGCAGCCCCAAGAAACTAAGACAGTCATGTATTCCCACAATATGCATGCGGATTTGACTCCAACTTACTTGTGTGACTTGGGGTGAGTTACTTGTTCTCCTCAAACCTCACTTCCCTTATCTATAGTGGGGAGATAATAAAGGTATAAGTATATATAAAGTATAAATGAATAAATATAATACATAATAGAAATAGGTATAAATAAAACATAAATAAAGGCAACTATTTCAATTTGATTTGAGGATACAATGAAAATACATATGAAATACTTACATAGTAAAAGTTCAATAACTATGAGCTAGTCTGATTATTATTAGCAGTGTTACTACTATCCTTGGCTGTTGTTAACATATCCTTGGCCACACAAGAGCAAAAGAACCCAGTCACAAGAGACAACCACACTAACCTAGGCTGAGCACTGCCCAGCACCGGGTGCTGTGCTAAGTATTTGACAAGTGATAACCTACTGAAACCTCCAATGCTCACTTCACCAGCAAGGAAACAGGCACTCACTGATTTGCTGAAAGTTTAGGAGGTAGCGATGGTAGGGATGAACATCCAGCTACGGCTTGCTGACTTATCCCCTCAACCACTCTGGGATTCTTATGCAGATGAGGAAAAAGAGGCTCAAAGGAAATCAAGAAGCTCCAAGAAATTAGAGGAGAAGGGAACCCCTGCACTGAAAGCCTGAAAGAATGGCTTGTGGCCCACAAGTCTAGTGCCCGGGTCCTCTGAGGACCCAGCACCTTTGTTTTCCAGTGAAATAACAGTTGGAGCCCTTGAATGAGCCCCCTCATTTTTCTCCCATTAAGTAAAATCTATACTTTATTCCAATTTCCTTTGTTTTTAGGTAATACCCTTTTTCTATTCCTGGATCCCATCCAGAAGACCACGTACTTTTCGTTGTCACATCTCCTTAGTCTCCTCTTGGCTGTGATGGTCTCTCAGACTTGTACTGATTTGGATCGTCTTTACAATTATGAGTACTAACCAGGTATTTGCGGAATGCCTGTCCATTGGGATCTGTCTGGTGTTCTCTTGGTTAAACTGGGGTTATGGTGGGGAGAGAGATCACAAGATAAAGTGCCACTTCATCACATCATATCAAGGTTACATGCTATTGATGGGATCTATGATCACTGATGTTGACCTTGATATGCTGCTTTTACTTATTATTTAATGTTGTTCTAGGGGTTTCCCAGGTGTCCCAGTGGTAAAGAATCTATCCACCAGTGCAGGACACACAGGAGACTCTGGTTCGATCCCTGGGTCAGGATGATCCCCTGGAGGAGGAAATGGCAGCCCACTCCAGGATTCTTGCCTGGAGAATCCCATGGACAGAGGAGCCTGGTGGGCTACAGTTCATGTGGTCGCAAACAGCCGGACAGGACTGAGCAACTGAGCACACACACAGTGTTGTTCTAACTAAAACTGAAATTTTTAACTACTAGCATAAATTATATAGTTCCATCTTTATATTGTACAATAGGTTTTAACCACAAATATAAGAGCACTTGACTCACATGCAGAATCAGCAAAACTGCATAACTCATACTTTGTAGCTCATGCATGCACATGTATTTACTTCTTACCAGAACAGTAGAAACGCTGCTCAAAACTGACTCAACTGTTTATATTTTACTTCTTGGTACATGCACACTTGGACATTCTTCACATGTAGAATGGAACTGCAACTGTGGCTTGTTCTATCTTTCCATCTTTGTCATCATTTTCAACACTAAGTGGTTGCCAAATACAGGGAAAGAGCACATGTCAGAAAGGATATGATTGGCTTTCTAGGTGGTTTGTGTTTCTTGGAATGTGACAATGTGTTTGGAAGTAAGTTCTGAGTGGAACCAAAGGCTGGCCTCTCCTGAGCCCCCCTCATCTGAGCGAAGTTTTGTGTTCTTTGTTCTGACTAAAACAACGGGAATTTTGATGTCTTTCAGTCACCCACAGTAGAATCCTCTTTACAAATCCACTGCTTAAGTGGTGTTGGTGCCAGGAAAAACATTGTGTTGTGGGTATGACCGCTCAAATGTCTGGTTATTTTAAAGGAAGTTCATTCCATCCCTACCCCATCTAACTCCTGCTCCTACATGGCATCCCTGTTCACCAGAATAAACCTCCGCTGTCCCGGACAGAGAGGGCTTTGACGGAGAGAGGGGGTGGTGCAACATGTAGTCAGAACAAGATGTGGTGTGGAGAATTCTCTTTTGAGAACACATCCCCTCAGGCACGAGTCACAAAATAAACAGAGACAGAGCAAAACCACTAACAAGAGCGAATTTGGAAAGCCAGAACGTTGAGGACAGGGCAAAGAGCTCTTTTAATGAGACCAGACTCAAAAATAGAAAGACTTTCTCCTGTGCTCTGCCTGTTTTTCCACCCATCACCTCCAGCCCTCCAATTTCATAAAAGCCATTTAAAAAAAAACTATAAAATTTTCCATCTGAGGCAAAAGTTATTAAAGGAAGAGAGAAAATAACAGCAGAGAATACCAGCTGTCAAATATCTGAAGCCAACGGGTAAAACTTAGCCATCTCTAGTTTCATCTGCAGAGAAGCTGCCAGCCCCACAGCCATCCCCGAGAATCAGCAGTGGGGAAACTATATAATTGCCTATAAAACTTGAAAAGCCAACATGGATTTTTAAAGACAAAAGAAAAGTGGATGATCCTCCTTCAATAAGGCTAACAGTAACAAAGGCAGGCTGGTTGTGTGTAGAGAGAGAAACCACAGCAACTCCAAAATG